ACGTTGGGCAGTATTACTGTGTGAGCTCATGATCATGGGGTCATGAGCGCGTGTGTGGCCTGTCCAGACACCAAACACCTTTTTAGGACGACGTTGGTGGGCATGGCACACCAACGGTTGTCGAAAATAAGGGGCCCGTACTACAGTATTATGGTGTAAGTAGCTCTACGGTACAGGATGCAAACGGGTGACCTCTATTGCGGCCGTCCTCTAGACTTTCAATTCCTCGTGCGCAATCACCACTCGCTCCGGCAATAAACGAGAGGAGTGGACGGAGAGAAACCCACGTGCATGGTAACCAGTCTACCCCACTGGGACTTCGTGAGGGCTTTACATGTACATCTAGAATGTAGTTTGTACCTGTGTGTTTTTTCCATACGTTTCCATTGTGTGTTTCGTTTGGGTGGGTTTGGGGGGGGTCTGGCATTTCTGGGTCATGTAAGCACAATAAGAAATATCCCGCGCACCTACCCCACCCCTCCTCCCCAGCGGCCCTCCCCGGTGTTTGCCATCAGGACTGGGTTTTCGTCGCTTGACAGCGATGGTGTAAAACAAGCCGATCGCTTCGTGATTTCGGCAATCAGGTTACCGTTTTTTTTTTCCTTTGTTTTGTTTTGTGCGGTAACCATTAATGGATGGTCGAGTAGATTATGTTGTGCGGGGTCGAGAACTCTCACTCCGCACAAACGGGATAATCGCACCGGTTGTGTTAAATTGGTCAAGCAGCCTCGAGGCAGTTACGCATTGCTGAAAACTACTGCCTCTGGAAGTGAAAGCACCAGAAAATCAATTAAGGCAAGGAAGTAAGCCAAGATGCCGAACACTGTTGGCAGGATGCAGCGTGCATAAAATGTGCCCCCTTTCAGTAGGATTTTATCGCATGGACTCGATTTATTAGGAAATTGTATGGCGTTGGGGGGGGGCATATTCATATGTCATGCATGCCTTAGCACACGTCCTCGAGAGGATGTAGAACTGTGTTCCCACAGGACCGATCACCGATGGTCAATCGTTTCTTCCTACTTTGGCAAAGGTGGCTCAAAAATGTCTTCCCAAATCCATCCTATCGATATCACTTCCCGCCTTTTCAACCCACCCAGTACAACCATTATGCCGTCCTCTCCTGGCTATTCCATGCCTCAACCGTCTCTCTGTATCTCCCCTCTACTTTTCGCAGCTCAGTCATGTCCACTTTCCTCCCCGTCTTGTTCAACGAGCATTCCGCAACTACATGAACAAGGTCATCGCACTCGGAGCCGCAATCACATTTGAATTTTTCGTCTTCATCGTCTCCTTCCTAAATCGTCGTCCACGTTCTCGAAGGCCGACGTCCCCGGTTCTGAGTTTGACCTCAAGCCCTGTCCCGGCATCCATTGGTCCATGCAGGTACTCCTTGAACCCTATTCCTTCGTTCAACATGCCGTACAATTCTAGAACCTTCTTATTCTTGGTTTTTTGTTTATTATCTGTTCTCTCTTGGCACAAGGAACAGGGGGGGGCTCCCCCCCCCCCCNTGATGATGAAGGTTGTGTGTGAACAAAAACAAAAGATGGAAGACAAAATGTTGGGTCGCCACTGTTGTACATTATTAGACAACAGACGTGCTGTGCCCACAATCGAAGGTGACGACATTACACTCGATCCCTGGATCGTGAACATTCTAAGAAAGTTGTTTGTCGTTTCTCGACGGAAGAGGATATATTCTCTTATAGATCAAAGCGATAGCTGTTGGGGAAGACTCACGACACCATTTCGACACCCCCATACTGCTGTGGACTACGTCGTCATCGATCGTTGACGCATGGGCCGGGGGGTTGTGATATCTTGTGTCATATGCGACACTGACCCCTATGTTGGCACTGTTGCACGTTTTGCCGTGGCGATTGGGGCCGGGGGTGTGACATCTTCTGTCCCCTACGATGTGCGTAAAAAAGTATACCTACCTACACATCCAACATGGATTTTCGGAGTTGTTGCAGCAGTATTTCAATAAAACATCTCGTCCGCGTCCGCGGACGTCCGTGGATGTCCATGGACGCTTCAGTGGACCGTCCACGGATGTGGGTGGACGCATCCGTGGACCACCGTCCGTGGACAATTCATTGGACATGTCTACGGGTGTCCACCGACAATGTCCACGGATATCTTTCCGGTGTCCATGGACACGTCCATAGTAATATCAAATAATGTAATCATTGACATAATTACGCACGCCTGTGTATCCTCAACCCATTTTTTCCGCCGGTCTGCTTGTCGTGGCACCTCCTTTCACTTGCCCCCCGCCACCCCACTCAATACCCAATAGGCTGTTCCGGAACTTCTTCGCATGGTTGACTTGGGAAAACAAGACTCTGCAGCCCTGCCTCGACTTTGACACGGAGACGTTTCGCGAGTTTGGCATCACACCCAGTACGCGTGCCCCTACCTACCCAAGCGGGGTACGTTGTCCAAATCTAAACGTTGTGCGGTGCATGCAACCCTGGGCGCGACATATCTGTTGGGCATGTTCGGCGGTTTACCTGTGTGATATTTCTGTGCGTGTCTGATGAGAGGTTTCTCGCCGTGCTCGCCACCTTATCACGCATGTCCTAGCTTTACCCTCCCGAAGACTGCAGCCCGTGCACGTATTTTGGGATTTAACAAGAACAGGCTAGCAAAATCGCGCACTGGTTTTTGATAAGCCCATGTCATATGTAGCAGACACTTCATTTATTCTACGTTTGTTGGTCGCGGTCGCTTTCATGTCTATACGCATGAATATTGCCTGCAGGCACCCCACCTGGACCCTCACCCAGTAGTTTCAAATGCCGTCGTTGACCTGGTGGTGCCTTCACGCATCGCATGCGGCACATTTCTGACAACATCGTCGCATCCGTCGAACTTGGATCAGCTGCACATCCGCTCCGATTCCAAAGTTGATGTCTGTTCCACCATTCGTTTCACCATCTGATCTCCTCAACTTGCACATGACCGCTTTTGTGCCAGCCCAGGGACGACGAGTTCGGAGATGGCGCGAGCGACGACGACGCAAATCCGGACGACGACGCGTTGGCGTTGCCTGTCGAGGCGGTCACGCCCTGATCTCCCGTTACTGCCGGCATTTTCAGGCGTGGGCGCTGAATTCGTGCTTCGTTCTGTGCGAAACGTTACAATCCCGCATGGGTTGTATCGGGGCGTCTCGGAGCCTGGGAGTCTCCCTGCGTCTGAGAGTGCTGCCGATTTCCCTATCGGTGCATTGTACTTGAATGTTGTAGGAAGAGTCATAACACAAGAAGAGCTACAGTATTGTGTGCCCCATGTGCTGATTTCTGATTTATGTGGTCGGGTTTGGAAACCGGGACATTTTGGTTTTCTGCATTATCTGAGATTGTGCGGAACAATGCATGCGAAAGACAACGCGAGACCGCGCAGCCTGATTGAAACTAGAAATCAGCGTGCATATGTAGCACCGAAAATTCCTTGATACTTTATCTGTATCAGAAGTCTGGTCTGATACTTACACGTTGACGTTTAGCCTTTGGCTGGGTGCGTTAGAGAGGCAAGACATATGCAAAGCTGACAAATAAAATAAAATCGAAGCCGTGTTAAACACAAAAATTAGGTCAACATATGCCCATTTTGGCCTGTTTTGAGGATTTTTTTGATAGCGTTTTTGAGATTTCGTTCGAGAATTTTTCTGAAATTCGTGAGATCAGTCGTGATTACCACCCCCCACACACTGTAGGCGGGTGTGGGAAGCGTTCCCCGTTCTCCTTTTATTTTATTTTGATCGGTCTCCTCGACGCTCTTTCTCGTTTGGTGCGGTAGCTGGTCATTCTTTCTATCATTTTGTTTCTCTTCCGAGTGGTCTTTGTACCCTATTTTTTTCTGTTTCTTAGTGGGGTCGTGTATGCCGGGTTTTGAGACCACGGGCTCCCAATCTTTTTTTTTTTTAGAGCTAATGTGAGAAACAACAAACAAACAAACAACAAACTATGCAAACGATGGATACCCATACACTATCAATATGGCTTTAGTATAAGGGACGTATGGTTGATGGCTGAGTCTAGGCGAGGTTAGCTTTAGGGTTGGGGATCGTTCTTGGTTTTTTGGGGCTGGATAGGCTCAATGCCCCACGTACCCCACCCCCCGGAAAAAGGCAAAATATGGCCGTTTTTGGGCCGACTCAAAGTCTTCCGGCCGTTTAGTCGCATGGTTCAAGCACCAGCTTTTAAGAAAAAAAAAAAATCTTGCTGAAAACACGCCGTAGAATTCAACAAAAAAAACGAAAAACAGATCGGACACCGTTAAGGCGGCGTATAAACCTAACAGACCAGACTTATGATACAGAGGAAGTATCTTTATATTTGGTGAAATACAGTGTAGTGTGTACCTCATCTAGCCCACGGAGGAATGACGTATCCATATATTAGCGTTGTAAATTATATGTTCCGTCCGTGCAGCTCCGTCGGTGACCTCTGATGTCAGGCGTTCGTGTTGTATAGATAGGCAGTAATTCGACGCAGGTGGTGCTTTAATCGCGGGTTCCCTTTTTTGATGATGCCGAGGAGCCTGATGGAAGAACCTCTACTGTTGCCCTGATTGTTTAGCGTTAGATAGATGTTGTTCCCGCCTTTTTTTGTATGGTGCAGTATTGCGTGATGATACACAATACGACATTTTTGGGGTGAGTCTTGAGCCCAAATATTATAATTTAAGCCTTTGAAAGATAAATGGGCACGCTCCTTTTCCTCGTAGTTTTTTTTGAATCGCTGCAACGCGCAAGCGGTAAGATAACCTTTTGCGCTTTGTTCTTAATAGTGCTTGAGTACGATGGACGCGTTCAGAGTATGTTGACGTGTGATATTCTGCGCTACTCACGGACGACAGCGAGGTGATCGATGCAGCACTTAACCACAAACATGAACCATAAGTTTAGAACGTTATCGACAACCCTAGTAGGGGTGTGGCTTACGCTAGGGTGCGCATCCCAACCTTGCCCAAGGTCGCCACCTGCCCGAATGGTGAAAAAAATGCGACCTTGCCAGGCCTGCCACCCTGGTGATGACATTCACATACCCTTGCTCAAGGTCGCTGAGGGCACGTTTCCAGGGTCTGGTCTGTTTGATATACAACATATTTACTGAGTCAAACAGTCAGCGCTCACTGTTTCGTTCAGTGGATATGTTGGTTCTCTAACAAAAGTACAACCGACCGTCGACCCGCCTGCGAAGTACAACGGACGCACCTACTCCTACGTCGCCAAAGCGACCGACGTCCTTACCAGAATGCGGGAAGTGCACCTACTGCGCCACAGGACCGAAACCACGCAAGCTCTGCACGCCTACAACATGCAAGTAGCATCTGAAGGCTACCGCATCGAGGTTCTTCGCTGTGACAAAGGGGGAGAGAACACTGGGGAAGAAATGCGCAACTACTGTAGGGAGTCTGTGATCAAGCTGGAATTCGCCGCGACCAACACGCCCCAAAACATCGGAGTGTCAGAAAGGGATGGCCAGACACTTGCGGCTGTGACTCGAGCTCTACTGCGCGATGGAGACTTTCCAAAACACATTTGGGGGGAGCTCATGATGACTGCAGCATTCCTGACCAACAGGACCCCACACGCGGCGCTAGGGGGAGCCACGCCGTATTCCAAGATGTACAACACAACCCCGGACCTTTCTCGACTTCGTGCCATCGGCGCCCGCGCGTTCGTTCATCACGAGCGATACAAGAAGAAGCTAGACGATCGGGCCTTTGAAGGCAAGCTCTGCGGTTACGGACCTGACAGCAAGACGTACCGGATCTACGTGGAGGGCAAAGACAAGGTCTACGAGAGCCGGAACGTGACTTTCATCGAGACTCCACCCAACACCATCCCCCCTCACCGGTGGGACGACCGTCTCGGATATGAACAGGACGTGATGAACTTCACGTCATTGCTCGGACGCCGTACCTCTACGGGCGACGAAGACAACAAAGTGGACTACGGAACACAATCAGAGCTCCTGCTGCACGAGATGCGCAACATGCAGCAAGACAACATCGACCGAGCAGAACTTCGCCAAAACAACGCAGGCACGGATTCCGACGACTACTTTGCTGCTGGGGGAGATGACAGCAATGACAACTCGCGGACTACGACAACATCCAGAACATCGCAGGACACGACACTCGAATCACCCACGACGACAACAGACACGGACTCCGCTTCGCCAGTCCCGATCCCAATGCGTCGATTAGCGGTGACCCGTCGTGCCACGCGCACTCATCAACCCACAGATGACCCTATCGACCCTTCATGCATCCCGAAATCTCTGGAAGTGAACATGAACGACAGGGGCCGNGCAGGACACGACACTCGAATCACCCACGACGCCAACAGACACGGACTCCGCTTCGCCAGCCCCCATCTCAATGCGTCGATTAACGGTGACCCGTCCTGCCACGCGCACTCACCAACCCACAGATGACCCTATCGACCCTTCATGCATCCCGAAATCTCTGCAAGTGAACATGAACGACAGAGGCCGCTCTATCATGGCTGTCAGTCACCCCGACCCACCGGAGCTCATCGAGGATCAACTACTCGATCTCACCCACCAAGCGCAGCAACGATGCCCTACCGACGCGGCGCATTTTGCTCACCTGCACGAAGAATCCTTCGCCGAAGCCCGGGCGTATGCTTACGCCACAGGCACCTCGAGCAAAGGGTTCTTGGGGGAGATAAACCAGAGATCAAAACTCCGAGCCCTTACACCGAAGCCATGAATTCACCACAACGCGAGCAGTGGAAGAGCGCTATCAACACCGAGATGTGTAATCTCGCCAAGCACAAAGTCTACAAGAAAGTACGCATCAGCCTGGTACCGAAGGATGAGGACATCTTCGACACACGCTTCGTGTTCAAGATCAAGGCCGACAGCCGCTTCAAGGCCCGCTTAGTCGCGGGGGGACACCGCCAACGAGCAGGACGACACTTCGGAAGGAACTACGCTCCAGTAACCCGATTGGGTAGCATCCGCATGCTATTCGCCATCGCTTGCGAACACGGATGGGAGGTGTACCAATTGGACGTGGTAGCTGCATTCCTGAACGCGTACACCGACAGAGACGTCTNCCTGGCCATCACCGGGAGTCGCCTGTACCTTGCCCAATTCACCCACTACGATCTGTCGTACGCAGTGCATCAACTGACACGGGCATGCGCAAACCCAGCACAGGTCCACATGGCTGCGGCCAAGTACCTACTACAGTACCTACGCTGAACGCCGGACCTGCCGATCTTGTACAAGAAGGGGCAGTTCAGACTCTCGTGCTTCACTTACTCGTCATTATGAGCCAACCCAGGCAACGGCAGGTCTACCACCGGATACCTGTTCTTCGTAGGAGGGAGACTGATCAGCTACGGAGCCAAGGCACAGACTCTCGCAGCACAGAACACCGTGGAGGCCGAACTTCAAGCGCTGAGCTTCAGTGCTCGCGAGGCAGTCTACATCTCCAACTTCATGACGGAAATCGTATTCAAGATCTTTCGATCGGTACCCATCAACAGCGACAGCACCGTAGCATTGACTGTGGCCAGCAACGCGATGTTCAGCTCTAGAACCAAGCACATCGCGCTCCGGTTCTTCTTCCTCAGGGAACCCACGAAGGAGCACCGGATCACTCTTCACCACCAACCTAGTGACACGATGTTGGCGGACATCGCGACGAAACATCTCCCGAAGCAGCGATTCGCCACCACCATGCAACTCATCAAGGACTACAAGTGCTAGAAGATATGAAGCACAAGATCGCATGGTGTGGTTAAATGTTTTGAACGCGTGTATTGCTCACAGGATGGATTCACTCATGTGGAGGTCGACATTCTTTGATATGGATGGGGAATGGAGGGGTCGCCAAATTGGCAGCGAAGTGAAGTTTTGGAACATCGGCTACATGCCTAATCGAGGGGTCGTGTCGAGGAAAACTGTTACAACGTAGTCTGGTCAGGCACAGTTTACCATAGGTGCGACTGCGGCAACTAGCCTTCCGTAGACATAATACAGAAGGAAGAGATGGTACTTAGCAGAGAACATGAGCACATAGTTGTAGCGGAAATGATTTGGCAGGCGAGACTGTAGTCGTATCATTGTTCCGAAGACCGAAACTCCGGTACTCGGGCCAATACCCCGGAGACCCTCTTGTTCTAGGAATATATCGGAAGCATGCTAGGTCAAGGTCGACCGGTACATCTACGTAGAACGTGTGTAGCTTCTGGAAACCTTGTGGAAACTTCTGGAAGCGTTCTAGACCTAGGTTGCACTTCATACTTTTCTAGAACGTAAGAGGGCTTCCAGCATCATGCTGGAAGCATTCTAGATCTTTCGTGTGATTGGCTTATTTGTCCGGTATTCGAGGAGAGTGCTGCAGCCCTAAGCTCGCCACCCCTCTCACTCTCATCTAGCACCCATCAAAGCCTGACCAAGGAGTCGGTTGATAAGACCATGAATTTCATCTACATTTCTCTTTCCGAAGCTCGCTCGGGCCTACCGATCTCACAGCAGTGTAACCTCTTTGATAGACTACAAAGTCCACGAGCTACAGCAGCACCGCGGGGACAGCAGTGTAACCTCTGTGGTAGACTACAAACTCTACAAACTACAGCAGCACCGCAACCTCCGCTGCTGCAGAACGCTACATTTTTGTGATGGTCCTACGCCAAGGTGGCCTAGAGACGGACCCTGCCCAGATACCGACCTGGCACAAGGTTGGGGGGGGGGCTATTGCGTAGCTACAAGGTCGACCTACCCCCCCACCCCCAACCCTGTGGCAGGGCCGAATGGCTACCGGTGTAGGCGCCCGCTGTTCTGGTGTCGGCGGCTGCCCGCGCTGTCGCCTATCGGCGGCTCGCTGCCGGTCCGCCCGCAGCCTGTGTGTGTGAGAGAGAGTTATTCCCCTAAAACAAAAAACCCGTCCAGCCGAGATGTTTCATGAAGAAGTCTGGTGATGCATTCATCATCATCGTTCATCGATCTCTGCTGCTTCGAAGTAGCTATAGATATAGGTAATCTAAACTTCCGACGCGCACATCCAATACTGATGGTAGCATGGCATACGTCACACACGGTCACCTACCACCGCACACAACGCCGCCAGAGGCAACGACTGGTGGCGTGGTCTACGCTATTTTCGGGCACGGCGAATCTCCAATTTGACGAGTTGTGTCCGTTCGTTACACATGGACGGGCGGGTGATATTTCATTGTCACGGTCTGAATGGAGTTTGGCTACAGACGACCCTCGCGCCTTAAATAGCACATCCATGTCTGCACCTGTACACCCAAGACTCGGAACGCCCAGAGATATCCTTGACACACCAGTGTCCTCATGATCTGAGATCAAACTGGTCTGCCGTTGTGTTAAAGTGCCACGGTGACAAGCCTGTCGCCAGGCCGTTGATGTTTTTTTCTGTATTTTTGGATGCGGAGAGTCGCGGGCCTGATGCATGCTGCCTGATTGTGACTGATCACTACGAACTTTTTTTTCTGGATGGAGCCAACATTTCGCTGTCTCCTCAGGCAAGATAAGAAATTTCGCCCCCCTCGAATAACTCTTGTTAGACAAGCCTTCATCACATTCAACTACATACAGGTACCCACGTGTTCTCATCACGCACTACGCAGCGCCACGCCTTTCCTCTCTCAACCGCGCACGGGGACAACTTGTTATCTGCTCTCCAGCTTCGTCGTCATCTTCATCTCCCTTTTCATGGTCGTCGATTACTCTCGCATGCGATTCGGGGTCGTACAGAACTGGTGAAACCCGAACTTTTCTCGCGCAACATATCAATTGTTATGCATGAAGAAACACAAATAAATATCCCCTGAATGATTCTTCATTGGTGACAATCACCTTTAAGGCAGTATTTGCAATACACACTCACCCACAACCTCTTCCTGATCATTTCTCTGGCTCGGCAACAGCAGCAAGATTCACCAAAGATCCGAAACCTAAGTTCAGGTATGGTCTCAACACCCTTATGAACGATGAGCAGACTGTATAGCTCTCCGTACGAAGGTTAGGCCTGCATGATGGAGGGATCAACGCGGTGAGTCTATCTTGAGGCAACAGCACTGTCACTGCAGTCGCTGTACAGCTATTCCTTCAGCTGTGGCTACAAACACACATAGTGATACTATTATCCACACAGACGCCGAAGCTGTTTTCACCTGACGGTTGCAGACTTGGCAACACCTCCACAGCACTGCATAAACCCATGCAGTAGAATAGACTCGTTCTTGAGCTGCAATAACTCCAACATGTCCTCTCAAGAACTACGTCATTCTAGTACCAATGCATCATATCCAATTCTCTCTCACTGTCCTCTCGAAACAATATCCATGTCCTCTCGAAACAATGTTATCTTCTGACTCATTATCATTTTTTCGGCCTTTCTTAGCTGCGTTGCATCAGCAGCGAATGTTTTCCTTCAACACAAATCTCCCGAATATTCTTGAAACAAATACACACACATACACCATCCAACCCTCAAGACATGAAGTCTGATTACGAAGAGGGAGGTAATCAAACTCCTAACAGCATGCCACGGGCGCGGAGAAACTCCGACGGGTTCAGCCCTTTTGTAAAAACATCCGCTTTCTGATACGACGTCGATCTTTGCTTCACGTCTACGACTCCATCAGCTACCAGCGACCATACGTGGTAAAACTTTACGTCAATGTGCTTAGTCCTTGGGGTGATACGGAAGCTGCGAGTTAATTTCAGAGCTCCCGAGTTGTCCTCCCACACCACGGTTGCTTCTTCCTGAGTCTGATTTATGGTGTTCTGGCGGAAGTACTTGATGATGTTGCACCCTTTCGACAAAGCCACGAACTCTGCTTCAACGGAAGAGGTCGTCACCACCGTTTGCTTGGATGACGTCCGTTCCACCGGTCCACCAGCGAAGTACAGGACGACTCCCGTGGTGTAGTAGCCCTTGTCTAGGTCGCCTGCAAAATCTGAGTCGACAAACGCCGTAATGACGTTTCCATCTTCGGCATCCTCGCCGTAGCGCACACCGATTGATATCGTCCCCTTCAGGTACCTAAGTACGCGTTTGAGCTTCTGCATCGCCCTCGGACCTGATTTCGCCATACTCCGCATCAGAACCATCACGGAGTGAGTAATGTCGGGCCTTGTGCACCTGCTGAGATAAAAAAGTGAGCCTGTGGCGGAGCGGAAATATGTGGTATCCTCCGCTAACAACTCCTCGTCCTCCAGGACGGACACCGGTCTAGCCTCAGACGGAGATGTCGTCGGACGCGCGTCGGCCATGTCGAACTTGTCCAACACTGCGCTGATGTACGCTTCCTGTTCCAAAAGAATCGTCCCTGCGGCTCTGTCTCGGTTGATTCCCATACCGAGCAGGAACCTGACTCCTCCCAGGTCCACCGTTTCGAAACGCTCATTCAGCTGATCTACTTTGCTCAGCACTTTGTTCTCGCCCTCCCCGGTCAGCAGAATGTCATCTACATAAACGAGAAGGAGCAAATCTCCGTCGTCCAGGATGTACAAGCACGGTTCAGCGGTGCTCTCAACAAATCCGATCCTCAGGAGAAAATCGTGCAGAGTGCCCCACCAGCCTTTTGGGGAAAACGCAACCCCTAAAGCCACGCTCTGAGCTTCCAGACTTGTCTGGCTCTCTCGTTTTCGCACGAGAATCCTCCCGGGGGAATGATGTACACTGGTTTCGATCCCGGTTCCATCCTCGCGTGGAGGAACGCCGTCCTGATGTAAGCTTGGGGAAGAATAAGTCCATTCTTGGCAGCATGCGCAACTATCAGATGGGCGGCTTGGAGAGACGCTACTGGTGCAGCATTGTTGGTTCCGGTCTCAGCTTCGTGAAATCCTTGCACTAGGATTCTCGATTACTGTCGCACAGCGATGCCGGCCTCGTTGTACTTCCATTCGTAGATGTATTTTGACNAAGCTTGGGGAAGAATAAGTCCATTCTTGGCAGCATGCGCAACTATCAGATGGGCGGCTTGGAGAGACGCTACTGGTGCAGCATTGTTGGTTCCGGTCTCAGCTTCGTGAAATCCTTGCACTAGGATTCTCGATTACTGTCGCACAGCGATGCCGGCCTCGTTGTACTTCCATTCGTAGATGTATTTTGACGGGATGATTCGAGCATCGCGCCGGGGATCGACCCACTCATAAACGTCGTGGTCTAGTAAGGAGCGATTCTCCTCCTCCATGCTTTTCATCCATCCAACGGCATCTGGTCCGTTGACCGCTGCGCGGTAGTTCGGTGGATCGGCGGGCATGTATCCTAGTTGGCCAGGTATCCCTTGACCAAGGTTCCCGATCTCAGCTCCGATCACCAGTGCGTATTCTGTTTCGAACACCTGCTCTGTCGTAAATAGGTTCAGATGGTCCCGCGGATTGTCTTGCGACCGCTTTTGCGCACCGCGGGCGGTTCTTCGTCCGGTCCGTCGTTCGTGTCTGCCAGTTCTGGTTCTTCGTCTCTTGTCTCCGCCCCAGTGATAATGCGTGGCTGGGAAATCTGGCCTTGTTCGGGAAATAGGTCTGACCCGTGCATGGGGCGAGCGACGTCGCGGGCATCTCCCTCGCGGAATGACGGTTCAGCAGAGTTTGTAATTTTGAGTAGTTCCGCCGGGTCCCATTGCCGCCACGCTGGTTGTATTGTATCCCACCATGTAATACTTCTTTACCCTGGCAGAAAACGTATCGTTTCGCGAGCGAGCTTTTACGTGTTTAAACGCCACAGACCCCCACTCATGCATGTGCTTCAAGCTGCCGAGTGGTTTGTCCTCCCAAACCTCAAGTGGTGCTTTGCCGTCCAGGACGTCAGTAGGTGTGCGGTTCTTGATGTAAATGGCGGCCTTCACGGCTTCCGCCCACAGTTGACGCGGCAGGTGCGGAGNGGTTTGTCCTCCCAAACCTCAAGTGGTGCTTTGCCGTCCAGGACGTCAGTACGTGTGCGGTTCTTGATGTAAATGGCGGCCTTCACGGCTTCCGCCCACAATTGACGCAGCAGGTGCGGAGCTCCAAGCATGAGGCTACGTGCTGCACCGATGACAGTCCCGAAACCGCGTTCGGCGACAGCATTCCCTTGAGGGACGTACGGGGGGCTTGTCTCCACAGCAATCCGGAAGGACCGACACATTGCTAAGAACCTACCCTTGAAGTCGGCTGCGCCATCGCAAAGGATTTTCCCGATGTAGACGCCCGGGTCGGCGACTTCCTTAATGAGGGTTTCGAGCGCGACAGTCACTTCATCCTTTGTCTTGAGGGGGATGCCCCACCGCATGCGAGACTTATCGTAGGTGAACATTGCGATATGCTGACATCTTATGTGCGATGGCACACCATGTTTCCCTCACAGGTCCAGACGCATAAGCATCATTCGCGTCGGTGAACGGGCGCGGCCAACTGGCCGGTGACTCGCCTTCTTGCTTTTAGATACATCGCACACTTCGCAGTCACCTGGTCGATTGTTGGTGAACTTGATGCCGGTGCCTTCCCTATCCGAGAGCTGCTTCAGGGCGCGGGCATTGCAATGTCCCATCCTCCGGTGCCAGTCACCGGCATCGGTATCGGCACGGAAAACTAGCGGAGAAGTAGGCAGGTCGAGATTCAGGTCGTCCAGGATGAGATTCACGACGCACATTCGAGGCACCTCTACTGTTGATATGGGGAAAGACAGGTTCCGGGTTCGCAGGGCCGGAGGTGCCGAAAGTAGATCCGTCTTCACCCCCTCGTCATCAAACGCTCCGACAGAAAATATGTTTGCCCCAAGGTCCCGCACAAGCAGACCCTCCAACTCTATCGGGACGGGTTGACCTTTGCCATTCTTGAGTTTGAACTTTAGCGTAGCTTTCTTGGTGGCGCTGGATGCGCCGCACGAGCCCTCGATGCGGACGTCGCAGTCAACCAAGTCGACTACATGTTGTGAGACGGGGCTCTCGCCGCTTACTGTGTGTCCCGAAACGGCGGTGTCGATGAACACCCTCGTATTCTCGGCGGGCGCTGTCTTGTCCACTGCTCGAAGAATGTTGGTGTACGCGACTAGCTCCTTATGCTGTATCGCGGCAGGCGGGTCCTTTTCCTGCTCGTAGGAGGCAGCAGGCTCCTCGGTTTCCTTTGCTGTGGCAGGCGCAATCGGCACCTGCAATGGGGCAGCACGCTCCAACAATTGTAGCGAAGCTGTGGGAGGCGCAGCCAGCACCTGCCCGACCTTTGCATCGGACGCCTCCTCAGGGGTCGATGCAGCAGGCGCAAACGGCACCTGCTCGGGATCGCCTACGGCGATGTCGAATGATTCCAGCGTGAGGTCTACCGCGCGTGCGTGCGTGAGCCACGCCTGTGTCGTGGCTTCCGCGGTCGTGTTGACCTGCTGCTGCGGTTGATGTTCACGGTTCGAAAACCGCGTGGCGTTGGAGGTGCGAAGCGGGCAATTCGTCCAGGTGTGTTCCGTAGAATTGTGACAGTAACTGCATACGCCGTCTCTGTTGTACCCGCGTTCTTGCTGCATGTGGTTCGGCCGTCCAGAGGACCGGTTGTCGGAAGACGCACCAGCTCCGTCGCCAGAAGTCGCGCCATGGTTCTGGTCGTTGCTGTTGTTCCCCCTTGTGGACCCGTTGTTACGGTTCGACGAGTTGTTCCAGCTGCCCGTCCTCGTCCAACGCGCTGCGCGCGTCCACGACCATGATGACCGCCGCCCTTACGGAACGAACGCGCTCCGCCGTGTGTGACGGCATCCAGCGCACGGCTGCTGCTTCCGGACGCGTTCTTCGACGCAATTTTACCACGAATGTGCATCGCGTGGAACAAAGTGGCTCGGTCGGCGACCTCCTCCAAGGACACGACGCTCCTGGTAGCTTGGCCGCACAGTAGTCCTGTCTTGAACTCTTTGTATTTGTCGTCCGGTAGTGACGTCTTTCGGTGGTCAGCCACAGTGTCGTTATAAACGGCGAGCTCCGTGCAGATCCGGCGCATGTCTTGAATAACATTGGCCGGGTCAAAGTCGTGGTCCGCAGTAACTGCCAAAGATATGAACTTCTCGTGCAGCTCCTGCGTACGGTATACACCAGCGGCCTGGTACTATCGTTCCAGGCGAGGAAGGCTCTACGACTATCTCCGTTGTGGGAAGACCCGATAGGCGCGTATGCCTGCACAGTCTGCGAGGCCGCGCTCTGGTAGCCCCCGGTTTCAGATGTGGCGAGCATCAGCCGTGTAAAGATCTGTCCGTTTTCGTCCTGGTATCCTTCCAGGGCAGATTGGTATGCCGAAGTCTGGTCCTGCATAGCACTAGGTCCGGGATTCGAAGGGGCTTTCTCCACTCCCAACAGAACTTTGTGCAGCTTGTCCTTCATAAACAACGAGGTCTGCAGGGTTCGCCAGCCGACGTAGTCGCCTGGGTCACCACTGAACTTGAGGAATCCCCTTCGGATCTCGCCTGAGGAGCCGGTAGCCATGCTTACCGACTCTGGTGACTCTGGTGTACAAGCTCGAGCAACTCGAGGCTCAAAACCTGTTGAGGCAACAGCACTGTCACTGCAGTCGCTGTACAGCTGTTCCTTCAGCTGTGGCTGCAAAGTAGCTAGCATGTGATGCGAGGTTAGGTAGGCAAACACACAGAGTGATATTATTATCCGCACAGACGCCCAAGCTGTCTTTACCTGACGGTTACAGACTTGGCAACGCCTTCATAATACTGCATAAACCCATGCAGTATCTACTACTCAGCGGACCTGCGCAGCTTTTTTCACGAACTTTCGTCACACATACCAAACGGGACCCCAAAAATTCTGTTGTGGTCACATGTAACTTTTCTAACCGCCGAATGAACGACACAGGGTTTTCGCCTGATTGAGAGCGGAGTTTACGATTGAGAGCGGGAGCCAAAAAAATTGAAATTTCGGGTCCAGACGCCTCTTGCCATTTCTTGGGAAGTAGGGGGCGGGCTCTTCCAAGAAGCGGCGCAAATTGAAGTTCTCATCAGCAGCGTCACGAGCATATGCGTGTCATCGCGATCGGATGCTGCAGCTAGGAGCTAGACAAGTTGCTAGATTTCCCCAGATTGGCTATTCCTGCCTCAAACTGTTTCAGGGCGATTTGATCGCGGGCGGTGAGCTCTGCTGTAGATTCTGCTCCCCGCTGTAGCTCCACAACGAGAGACGCCCACAGGATGACCAGGGTATCAGCTTGTAGCTACGGGCTAGGCCTTCAATTCAAGCTACGCAGCAAGCTCCACCTCTCAGCGGTAGTCCAGCTACAGCGCATCGCGCAATCTCGCTCTCAATCAGAAACTTCGCTCGCAATCACACGAAAACCTTGTTACGATAGGAATGACGGTTCTCGACGTCAAGCCCTTCTTCAATTCAAACTCTAGAAGTCAGGGAACTGTTCATTGGTTGCCACGTGTCACCATTCATGACTTTCATCGCCACTCGCCAGGGCGTTAGCGTTAAGCATACCTTTGCGGCACTACTCGCGGCGTAGATATTTAAGCCATTCTTTGCGGTTGTATTGTGTGTTTTCTTCTGCATGTTTTTTGCCATTATCGGATGGTCCTTGCCGCAAATAGCATCTCCAAACAAAAATCTATTTTTGACAAGCCTTGTTCACCTTAACATACGGCTACCCGTGCGTTCTCACCACACATTACGCGGTGCCACGCCGTTCCACTCTCACCCGCGCACGGTAAAAAATGGATGTGCTGTGGACGACCGTCAACGGCCGCCAGAGGTTAGTCCAAGTTCGGTGTTTTTGACCGCCACGGGTTTGGTTATCCACCGATATTTCCGAAGGAGGAAGCAACAGCAACAGCAAGGCCACTCGGCGAGAGGAAACTCTCTGTTCCATCTTTCAAGCCTAAGGTTTCGTGCCTTGAAGGATCGCGATGGTCGGGAAAAAACTTTTGTTTGATCCCAAAATACCCACGTCTGAAAGCAATTGGTTCAAGTTAGTGGGAATTGTGTGCTCTTGGTTTGGGATTCCAGCGATACCATATCATTGGAGATGACAGCAACAACAGCAATGCCACCCCGAGGGAGGTAGCTCTACCCAGCATGTTTCTGGTCTCGGGGATAAGCGTCTCAGCAGCAGCAGCAGCAGCAGCAGCGGGTGTGTGATGTGTGCCGCGGTCGCTTCGAAGGCTGTGGTTGTACAGCAGCCTACTTCACAGAGGTTGCACTTCGAGTGCGGATGCAATTCGATGTGTGCCTCGGAACGAAGAAGCAAAGAACGATGTTTGATTACTGACTGACTCCCACGTCAGGTTTTGAAGGTGCTTGAGTGGAGTGAGCACAAGGGCGAGAGCGCGCTTGTGTCTCATCTCGAATACAAAAAATCAAAATCACACAAACCGTTCAGACGGAGTTTCCCCGAGATCTACTCGCTGTACTGTTCTTTAGGGGTCTTGTTCGGACCCTTCGGACAGCCCAAAAGTTTCACCGCAAATATTTCGAGGATCTCTCTGATGCACTTGTGCACAGAGAATATCCCCACAGTCTCTGTGACGTACCTAGTCTCCTTGCTCGACTTCTACATGCAAGCTTTTACCACTGCTGTGTATCTAGGACAAGCGTCCTCCACTGTCATCCCATCGTCCCTAGGCTACACGTACGTGTAGAACACGCGAAAGTGTATTTGCGCATACCCATCACACAAGAGACTTCTTGTGTTGCTTCAATCGACCCCAGAGGGAAATGTGTCACTTATGATGATACTGGTAATATGCAAATATCAAGCAGTGATGCATATCCCCGACAATTGGTACCAGGTGAGGCGCCTTGAGGTATCGTGATTGTGGGGGGGGAAAGTTGCAACTCCAATCTTCTCCCGCACGCTCTGGCCGGTATTTTCGCGGTGTGATATGAAAGGCGCGTGTCTGCATCTCGCCGTCGCAAAAAAATCGAAATAACCTATGCCTCCGCATTCCACCAGTTCCGCGCACAAAAATTTATTCGTCCCATAAAAAGAGTGTACCACAAGTTTCATTGACGAATGTTCACGAGTAAAATTGCAGGAGAAGACGCAGCTACCTTCGCAATGTTTTCCTGCCATAAAGGAGCGGTGTTCTACATGTAGGTGCGCGATTATTTCAAATGGTCTCGGTCTAACAGTCCCGACAGTTACGTTGTACGCATCGATAGATCCATACCATTGTAAGTTGCTGCTACTACCACTGGCTTCCTGCTGCTACCGATGGTCCCGGCCTTCTAGTGGTAACCTCGAACCGCTGGTGGCAAAGTTGTGAGTTCGAATCCCCATGGGGTAAAAACTTCAAATTGGAGCGTGAGCCAAAATTATTGCCTATAAGGTCGTGAGTACCAAACTTCGACGATAGCACCGCTGACGAAGGGAAGGGACGGCTGGTCCTTCCCGCGATAAAGAATATCAACTCAGCACGCACCCCAGGAGGAAGCCGGGGCGCTTCAGCTTCTTGGACCACAATCCGTGGAAGTTTCAGTCGACCCCGCCGCCCCTTGCCCGACCCGACCCGAAATGCTGATGTCTAGCTGGAGTGCAACTTTCTTGGAGTCTTGAGTACGGTTCGGTGTGGAATCGCAGATCATGACCCCTGCCCGAGTTTGAGGAGTTTCGCCTCCTGTGGCCGACAAGAGTCGGGCTTGTCTGGGTCGCTACCCGAACGGGGCAGTTGAACAAAGAGGGTCCGGGCGGTGCATCACATTTTTTTATACCGTTCTTTCTGGCAGAGTCAGCGGGGCTTCCCACCTTCTTGGTGGTTTGTATCCCTCAGGCTGCTGTTGTGATGCACCACAGGGGGCATCTCGGAGGTATACTGTATCTCTGCCTTTTAGGGTTGGACGCCCGTACGGTTCCCTAACGTGCAACAATCATCGTTGCCCTCGCACGACGTAGCACGACGTATGCATATGTCCGGAATATAAACATCCCGGGCCTTTTTTTTCTCTTCCTTGCTCATCTCACACGCGCTTTGTTGTTGTGTATTGTTGTAGCTGCTTCGAAATGAGCATTGTGCATCCGGACGGCATGTCTCAACAGCCGTGGCGATCACTACCCCTGCAGTACATGGTTTGGTTGTGTTCATTTGACTTGCTTCCCATCTTGCCTGTCAGCCTCTTTCCGTCCGTGTCCGTCCCCTCTTTCCGCCTCTTCTTGCGGGGGTATGAACTGTAACAGCAGCATTGAAAATACGACGTATGTGATGGCCAAGCAGCGTTGGTAGCCTACAAAATAACAAGGCGTTCAGGCGGGCAAAGAACTTCCTTATGTATGTATGTCATCATGTGTGTGGTACACATACACATATGGTTCATTTCTTTTTTTTGCTGGTTGAGGAAGGGGGCTCAAGAGTGTCTGATCTTCCACGACCGACCTTATATCCCGCTCCCTCTGTATGTTGTTTGCACACATCAACGGCGGAGGAACACGCTTGCCTCCGGTACAAGAACAGCAGTACCGCCAAACGATCGGCACCTAACAGCACTGATGCACAAAAAAAAGCAACTGCGAAGTGGTAGCTGACACGAATGCACTTGTAGCTGCTTGCTGCTGCTGCTGCTGTTGTTGGAATGGCGATTACTTCCATCTATATTTCTTATTTTTTGTCCCCGGCACGGCACAGCGTGGCACAGCAGTTACATGTATTGTTGTTTCCCTGGATACATGCAACAGAAGTAAACACGAAAAAATCGCATGAGAAAACTCCTCGAAGCAGTTGGTCGTGTGGGCTGCAGCGTCACCGGCTGCAAGGAGGGTGACCTCCGGCGGCGGCGGCGGCCGCGGGATAGACGGCCAGGGCGTAGGCACTCGCGGAGGGAGCGGCAGCATCGATAGCAGCAAACACCAGCGGCAAAGGGGTGACCCCCAGCGGTCATGGTTTCTCAGCGACGTCGGCCGGGGGCATGGCCGGGGGGGCGGCCGGGGTGCAGGCTCTGACGGCAAGAGCGGTACCATTGGTAGCAGCACCGGCGGCGGGGGGGGTGACCCCGGTGGCAGGGATTTCCCCCACGGCGGCGGAGGGGCAGACGACCGGGGCGCAGCCACTCGCGACTAGATAGAGCGGCAGCAAGAGAGGGGGCCGCCGGCGCGGTCATGTTTTCCCCGCGGCGGCCACCGGCCGGGATGCACGCACTTGCGAACGGCGCGGTGGCACCGTTCATGGGAACGGCGACGACAGGAACGGTTTCCGTGACGGCGGCGACGAAGGGTCGACTGGGCTACCGCACGCGATGAGACAGCAATAGAGACGGTAATCGGTCAGCAGCGGTACAACGTGACTGCGGTCACACGGTCGGGATCTCGTCGAACCGATACTATCGTGGTTGTGTGTCGGCGCGTGAGTGTACTTCGTTTTCACGTCGCGGGCTTCTGTCGAGAGCGTTTCTGCGCACAGGAGTAAGTCAACCTTTGCCCACGACCGGCCACGAGTAGAGAAAAATATACACAAATTGCCCCCCACGCCCCAGCGAATAACCAAGGAATC